CGCCGCCCGGCCCAGCCCGGCCCGGCCCGGCCCGGCCGCGCTGCGCTGCCTCCGTGGGCTCCGCGCCGCAACTTGTGCTCGCCCTGCGATCGCCGGCGGGTCCTGCCCGGCGGGCGAGGCTGGGCGTGGTGGTGCAAGGATGGGACCGGCTTGCAGAGCTCTGGAGCGTGTGGAGAAAGGCAGCGGGCGCAGAGAATCACCCCGTGTGGCGTTGTTAGTGAGGAGGCTGCGTCTCCGGGGAGAAGGGCGAAGGCGCTCGGTCACCACGGTGTGACTATCATCGGAAAACTTCATTTTCCGACGGGAATGGGAAAGTTTGGTGGTGAGTCATTTTCTCATTAAAGAGTGAATCTGGACGTCGAAAGCAATTTGTTTTCCGGTGTGAGACTAGGAGAAGGTTCTGCAGAAACCGGTGTGTTCTGCGGCCAGCAGGATTTCACGACTCACAACTCTCCCCCTGATTAACTGATAGACAAACTGATGTTTGTCCCCAAAGAAACAAAAACTCAAACAAGCAACCCCCCAAACAAACAAAAGAAACAAAAAAAAAAAAAAAAAACCAACAAAAACCACCCAAACAAACAAAACTACTAGGGGATCTTTTCAATGACTGTTTTGTTTTCTTTTTTTCCTGTATGATAGATCATGGAACATAATCGGCGCTCAGTAAGACATCTTAAAAACAAGTCCCTATTATCAAGGGTTACAGTTCCTAGCTCCAAGCCTAAAATGATAAAAAAGCCTCTGATTTTTAACTAAAAGGTATCCATACAAAGTTACTATTTCGACCTCATAAATCAAAATGGGATACATACTGTTTAATTAAATGCGGACATACCAAAATAGATTTATTTGTTACTACATGAATTATTAGACTAAGTTCTATTAGGTCTGTTTTGCAAGAGATCATAATTATGATATCTTTTGCATTCATTGTAGGAAAGATACAAGTGAAGTGCCCACTGTTAGTGCAAACTGGCAAAGCTTTATTCTTGGGGATCAAGGTTACAGGGTTTAGAGGAAGCAAGTTCTTGTGGTTAGCCTCTTTCAAACACCTGTTTGAATTGCAACCGACAGACATGAAAGAATCAACACTGCTAATATTGCAAATGTCTAGATTTACTTGACCATGGTGAATTTTAACTGCATTCACTGTAGTGAAGACAGGGTCAGTTTTAAAAAAAAGGAAAATTCTTAATTCCTAAGATACTATGTGGTGTTTGTATTCCTGACCATTGTATTTATGCAATTTATATACTGCATGCAAAGTTGTTAATACTCATGTAGGATCTCATCCAGAAACTTTTAGCAATTCCTTGGCTTTTAGTCTACTAATATCAGCACACCTTTCAGTAACAGTTACGTGCTCTCCATCTTTTCACTTCACAAGACATGGAAATTACAGTGGCATGTTTTCTTTTTGATTGGGATTTTAGCAGACATGGTTGGTGGCAGTTAGGCTTGCCTCCACGATTCTCTTCTATGGATTTTCCCACAAACCATCTCTTCAATCTGTTCCTCATGTTCAAAAGTTTCTGAGGCAATTGCAATAAAACAACTCTTATGCATCACTTTGCAAAGCATGTTAGGAAGTCTTATCTCATAATAGGTATAATTTACCTGGTATCTAATATGGCATCTAGTGCTTATGGCTTTTACAAAAGCAACTAGGAGAGATAGCAGATTCCATCTACTCATGCATGTGAGTGCATGCCTCCTCTTGAAATTCACCTGTTTTTTGTTCCTGCTGCTAGATTAATCTCTACTGGAGATTCACCTAGCAGCAGGAACAAAAAACAGGTGAATTTCAAGAGGAGGCATGCACTCTCTTTTCATATTGTCAAGACACCTTGTTCTTGGTTCTGCCAATATGATTTTTAGATTTAATTGTTTTCAAGCTGCATCTTAACACCAATCAAAACTTTATTAGGTAAATAACAAGCTATCTACTTGCTATACTGTGCATTCAAAATACCTTACACTATTACAGGGGATTCTGAGTCATCTTTATGATATGGGATTTGTGTGGTGCTTTTGACAATGGAGAAAAAAATCTCATTATTCATTCTTAGCTTGATTTTGATAAAAAACTTTTTTCTTTTTCTTTTTTTTTTTTTTCCTTACAAAATCCACATAATTTGGCCCCTGGAATTCCTTTACATTTCTCACTACCATATTGAGTGGCAATTTTTATTTATCCATTTTCAGAAGCCTTGGTAAACTTTTAGTTCATTCATCGTTCTTGTTCTGATATAGTATATGTACAATGATGTCTGAGATAACTTCTTCACTAGCCAGAGCAAGTTGTTAAATTTCAATTTTTTAAATAGTTATGATTAAATATTGTATACTAGGTGCTAGTAATGGTGGTGAAAGAAACATGGTGAAATGTTATAAACATGTGTGAACTTCAGTGAGAGCCAGGCAAATTACAAATATTGTATTTAAAAATACAAGGCTGCTTGAAACTGTTATATATTGAAACAGGTAAACACAAGAAAGCCACATGATCTGAAGTCATACAGAAATTTAGAGAATATTTGAAAACTGAACACATATTTTCAATAGTTAAATAAAAGTTAAATAAGCTGAGTAGTACAATTTAGCCCACTATTCTTCAAAGATGTTAGTTATCCTAGGTTTCAAAGACAGCCTTTTCAGGTTTTTCTCATTTCAAGTGAGTGATTCAGAGAAGTTTAGAAAACGTCAGGCAAATATAGCTTAAATACAACAAACAATTTTTTTTTTTTTTTTGCTTCAAAATATAAACTAATATTTTATGGCTAAAGAGCTATGTTATTACTATTATATTTCCCCTGCAAAATAACAGCGAGGAATTGCTTTTCAGAATATTCACTTGCATTAGCACTTTCCAAGGCTCTTTGGATCACAATCTTCTAAGTCAGTACTTAAGGCTACATACTTTTATCATTTTAATAATTTGCAATATGTTCATTGGAACTGTAGCAAGTTATGCCTAATTTAGTTGCTTCATTAAAAAGTACTGAATGAATAGTCAAAACAAACTGTGTCAGGCAGGTTCGATTTAATTCCCCTGGGCATCAATGGCTAATTTCTGTTGGCATGAAAGGAAGCCAGATGCACCCCATAGTCAAAATTTATTTCTTCGATTCAATAGGAGTAGCATTGGTCACAATTTTCTTCATTTCATTTGTCTACAACTTCATTGCCAGACATTCCTAACTTTACATAAGTAATAAATATTTTCCAGTTTTTCATTTTATGACTTTTGCAAAAAGTTATTGACAGACTCAGGAATATGAGCTTCTCTCATGCATTCTTCACTTTAGATTAACTTTCTGAAATTCTTCCTATCTCATTATTCTGCCTGCAATCTGAAAACATGCACATGCACTATATTGTCTTTGTCTCCTATAAAGACTTATAACCATTATGCAATTTCAAACCATTTCCACAAAATATTATTAAATTTAAAACTCTGCATTTTCTTCCAAACCAGTAAAATTATTTTAAAAGCATCCCTAGAAAATCCTGACACAATAAGGAACAACATTTAGCAATTAAAAAATCTTTATTTATGCCAATTTAGTTTTAGAAGCTAAGTATTATGCATGACAGGATGACCAGAAACTTGCAAAAATTAAGCGAAAAACAATGCTTAACTTTTTCCTCTGTCTTGTGAAATGAAAAGCAATACCTAGCCACAAATAAGGAAGCTCAACTCCTGTAAACACTTCATGACATCTAGTTCATTCTGTATCTTCTTCCCTGCCTTAATGGCAGAAATTGTATTGTGACTTCCCTTGCTTTACATGCAATGTCAATCACTGATCATGTTATAAAAAGTCCCAATTGAACATATCTTGGAACAGAAATGGACACTAACTGAGGTGCTAGATCCACCTCACCCCCTGACAAAATGTTTAGCACCTGAAAAAACTGTCTGTTAAGGATATAATTGCTGCATTAAACCTAGAATACCAAAACTTTGAAATTATATTTTGTATTCTAAAACCTAGCCAAGGAAGGTGCTAAATTTGACAGTAGTCCATATGCCCAAGTAACCTGAAGTTTGCTCTGGAGAAACTACAGCATATTTGAACATTGATGAGAGAGGAGGCAGCAGTGAAAGACTGTCTTCCTGCAGCAAAAAGCCTGCCAAGAAGTAGTGACCTTCCAGGATTTGCATCCACGTTCTCCATCCTCGGAAGGTCCAAGGGTTCCTAAGTCGTTTTGAGGCAATCCAAGACTAAGAACGGGATTCGATGAAGGAGATAGAAAGATAAGAGTTGGAAGGAATATGTGAGCAAAAGAAAGTGCTGTAGAAAAAAAGCATGAGGCAGAAGACCTGCCTTCAGATCAGTGCTTCAAATCCTCCTGGCAGCCTCTGAGGCACTAGACACTATAGCCTGGGAATAAGACTCTGAGTATCTAGAAATGTATGTTGCTCTCATGAAAGTTTATAGTTTAAATGTATTACAAGCATGTATTACAAGCAAAAAATTTTGCCTTTAAATGGATACTGACCCTCCAGCTAACTATTCTTTTGGCCTCATGGAAACAGTCTGATTTTTCAAAATTTTAATACTATTTTACTGGAAAATTGCAAACCCAGAATAC